CTTTTTTTACTAGGTATTTGACCTCTTGCTCTGAAATTTCCTTCAATAGGTCTCATACCATAAGTGTTACTAATTTTTTTTTTTCTTTGTCTATATTTTTTTCTTTTTGGCTTTTCATTTTCTTTTTTATTTCTCTTTTCTCTTTTGCATCTTTTTTTTCTATTTTTGTTTTCTCTTTCTTTTTTATTTCTTTTTTTTTTTCTCTTTTACTTTTATTTTTATGTTCTTCTGTATCAGATATCATTCTAAACTAGTTATTGTGTTTTCTTTAAATTTTGTTAATTGCTTCTTTTCTATCATGTTTATAATCAAAATTAATTATAATCCAAGCATTATTCTTCTTGAATACTTCTTTGACTTCTATCACATGCTTATTAGTTATTAGTAGTCTTTTTACAAATTTTGTTCTTTCTTTTTTTGAGCTATCTGATACATTATATGCTGGTATTTTTATTATATATATTAGTTTCTTACTGCAATCTCTGTTTGCAGGTAACTATATGCTTTGTTCTAATAATGCCTTTATAAAGCTGCTTCTCTTTATTTCATGATTCTAGTTTTTTCTTCTTTCTTTTCTTTTTCTTGACTTCTAATTGCTGCTATTATATCTTAACAATCTTGTTGCATTACATTTATCTTTAATGTTTTAATTTCTTCTTCTATATATTTGTCTATAGTTGTTTTCATTATCACATTCATGTCTTCTGTATTTTTTGCTTTCTTTATTTCTTCTTCTCTTTTGTTGTTTTTTTTTTTCTTCATTTATGTTCTGTTATAGTTCTTTTTTCTTCATTACTATATTTATTACATCTGTTGTTTGTCTTATCTTTTTTATATATCTTTCTAATATAGTTATTTTTTCTCTTAACATTATTTGATTTTTTTTACTACTCATGCTTTCTATTGCTATTAGATGTTGGCTTATATGATTTATTTCTTTTGCCTATTTTCCTATACTAGTTAGATCTTTTATATCTATTTTAATTATTATTTTATATATTTTTCTTAACATTATTATCTTCATTAAGTTTGTCTTCTATAATGCTATTGCAACTATATCTTTCACATTAAAGTAGTTATTTTTATTTGCTAATTCTTGCTCTAATTCTCTGCTATTTATAAGTTTTAGTACTGCTTTTGCCCTTTTATTTACCAACTTTAACATCTTAGATTCTTTTAGTTTTATTTGTATTAACATCTGACTGTGCTTGTGTAACTATTTCTAAATGATTCTATCATATACACTTTGTAATACTTACATGTCTATTCCACCTATATTTGTATATGTTTGTTTGTTTGTTTTTTCATGTACTCATGTAATTCAAAATGATCTGTGATTTTAGATCAATGCTGTTTTCCCAAAATTTTCTTTTTGGTTTTTATTTTGTCAAGCTTATCTTCTTTCTACTTGTTATATCTTTTTATTTTCTTTGTCTTTGCACTTACTAAATCTGTTTTTAAGTGTTCTTTTTTTTTGTCTAAGTCTCTAACTGTTGTTTTGATACTGATTTTTGTATAAAATTCAATTTTCTTTTTTGTAAATTTGTGTTTTGGTGATTAGCAGAAAGAATGAATTATTAATTTGCAGTTTATCACATATTCTTTATTAGTTATATTTTTATAATTGATTTGATTTACAACTTGATCATATATACTTTTTACAGACTTTTCTATAAATATACTACCAATTATATATCAATATACTACCAATTTGATGTTGCAAACAAACCTAAAATCTTGACTTATTACATACAAGTATAATGCTAATTATCTAAGTTGTAATGTACAATTACTTTAGAAAATATTTGTTTAGTACTTTAGAGCTATCTGTTTAAGATGTTCTAATTCTAATTAAACTAATTCTTTGTTACAGATCTTCTTTGCATGTACTATATTACTCATTACTTCAGTTATAGCTGCATTATATTATTCTCCTAATCAAATACTCTGCAAGTTGAATACTAAGATGTTAATGTTGCCCATTTTCTAAAAACTTACTTGTACAACATCGTCTTATTAAAGATATGCTAACATCTAAATATTTGATATTTTTTTCAAACTAAATTTTTTTTATGATTTTTCAGTAAATATAAGTATATATATAAAAAAATATTATTGTATCTAATAAAACAACTTGAAAAACATACAGTAAAATTAGTTTGTTTACATTTGTTTTGAATTTTCGTGTTATATTACACAATTGATTGGTTAAATTTGTTGCCAATCATCACATAACTTATAAATTTTGTAAAAATCTACATCCCTAACGTAATACTTTTTTTTTGATATAATGTTCTCTTGTCACCTAGGAAAAGAAATTATCCAATTTACCTTTCTAATTACCAAAAAGATATGGCTCAAAAGAACCATAATTGTTGTATTTGATACTTTTAACTTCTCAACTCCTTTATTGTTAATGAAAATCTATCAATATATATTTTTAGAATAGTGTGTTTATTGGTCAATTATTTTAATCAATATTATTATCTTGAATTGAAAATTTTCGAAACTTTATTGGGTGGCGATTTTACCCCGGTCACCAAATTTGTGTTGTCCGGTCCAAGTTTACGCTTAATTTTGCCCAGCATTAAAAATAGCAAAAATATCTATTTTATTTATGATTTGGCTGATTTACATATGATCAACATAAATCGATATTTTTCACTGTCCCTGATTCAGGCTTGTTACAATTATATTTGTCACCAAACCCAACACTAAAAAACAATCATAAAATTGAATCAAAATAATGAGAGTTTTTGATCATTATCATAAAACGAGTCAATTATTGATTGATCTGGCACAGTAAAAGTTAACCTCGACATTGGCAAGAATAACTGTGAATAGTTATGTAAATGATGAAAGAAATATACCAAAACTCAAGGCAAAAGTAAACTATGAATCAGATTCAAAATTAGGTGTAGCATAATATAATCAGGCATAATCGGTAACTAGCGCCCAGCCACTTGCCTGTTTTTTCCAACACGTCATAATTCTGCGTGCGTCATCATCGAGGCGTTTCTAAGAATAACCAATGCTATCATTATGACTACGTAATAATATAGGAGCAGGCAAAGCATTTTTCTTGTGTATGTTTGCTCTAAGTAATTTGCAATTATTAAATACTATATATACCAGTTATAAACATATAAATGCTGTACTTATTTTTAAAATTAGTTGACATACCTAAATCTTATATAAAATTTGATTAATTAATTATGTGCATATTAAGCTTTAAAATTTAAAAAATAGTGAACAATTTTTTGGTAAGTTAAAACAAAATATGAAAGAATTCAAGCTAGAATGAAAGATAACTTATAGTTCATGCAAACTTAAAATAAGTTTACTGGGTATATAAACTTAGAAACCAAAAACATAAAATGTACTTTGAAGTATTATCATAAAGAAATTAAAAAATAAATATAAATTTTTTAAAAAATATTTATTAGGTTAAATATTATTCCAATTAAATCAAACTATTTAAAATTAAAAATATAAAGATTAAGGCCAGCAATCATCAGCCAGAGTAAGTTGAAGATTACAAAAGAGGCAAATTGTTTGCTTAGACGCGTCGCACTTGGACTAATAGGTCGGATGAGCTTTTATTAGCTTAGATAACATATGTACCTATACAACATTTTTTGTATTTTTACGTAATCTTAATGAATAAAAGCAGGACTGCTGAATTAAAATAAAATAAAATAAAAATATAAAGATATAATATATACCTAATATTAAAGTTTTTTTTTTAATTTAATTTAATTTAATCAAATATATATTTGATTTTAAATTAATTTTAAAAACAGAATGTTCAAAAAATATTTGATTTACTTTAATTAAACATTTAATAATAATTTGATAGTTGTTTTTTTTTTAAATGTTATTAAAATAATTGTTTTTTAATTTAATTAAATATGTATTTGATTTAAAATCATTTCTGTATTTAATATATAAAGTTTATCGATTTATTACAAATTAATAATTTTTAAAGAATAACCATTAATTGTATACTAGTATATACGTATACATGAAGTATTTTTATATATTTTTAAAATATTAATTGCAAAAATATTTTAAAGGTTCTAACAAAAAATATTTTTTACAAAATTTTCCACTTTAGTATTAAATAAAATTAATTTTTATTATAAAAATTAACTTATGCAAATTATCATTAATATATATAATAGTAAATATTTTTAAAAAAATTATAAAAATTGGTTAATTCTAACATTTTGATCTACTGTATCTTATTATAAATTGTAAAAAAAATTTTTTATTGCTAAATTACAATTTAGAACTAGAATTGCTAATAGAAAAGTATATATAATTTTGGTAGACGTTATGTATTTAAATAAGAATGCCCAATTTCAACATGAGTATAAGCTGGTACTATTGTTTTTTTAACAAATTTTCAAAATTTTATTTATATCTAACTTTATTAAATTATATAAAAGTAATTATTTTTTATTACCTAGTCAGATTAAAATTAAAATATTTTTCTATAAATTTTAACAAGTGGAAAAATTGTGTATAACATTAAAAAAACTGGCCGACCGGATCTGTTTTAAAATTTCTCATGTTATAAAAACAAAGAAATAACCTTTTATAATCTTCAAGTAAATTTGATTTTATTTTTTCATTTTAAAGTTCGTGGCTGACCAATCACAGGTGATGATTTACAGACGAAATGTCTATTTCTTATTCACTAGAAAAAAAAGTGAAATGATAAGATCTGGAAAGTAATATAATAGTTTCACCTAATCAAAATTATATTATTTGCCGGACTGTCTAGTTGCAGTTTTTGCTCAATCATAATTTTTAGTAAAAATATTACTTGCCGGACGTCCGAACATGTTGATCAAGGCATGTGTAGAATGTAGGCCCTCCGCTACGTTCCGGACAATAAAAAAGTGCGATTGACATTGTCCATATGTAGAAATCTTGTCTGTATGGTATTTAAAGTTTTTTTTTCTAACTATCCTATGTGAACTTTCATAATCATGTTAGTTTTTATCAGCAATTCGCCTTCCTTCTGAATCACCACTCCACAATCCCATCAATATCATCAGATGGCAAGCAAAAAGTAAAGAAGAACTTTCGCTTGTAGCAGGATAAACATTCCAACAGTATTCTATTGAAGCAATAATAGCAAATCTTGAAATAATGACAATTAAGGTGATAGTGAATAAACGCTCCAATAAGCAATACAAAGATATGATAAATTAAACAATCCTACCTAAAAAAGACGGGAATTTTTGTGCAATGCCACAATAGATATGGTAATCCATGAAAATACCATGAATAGAATTGGTAGTGTAGAGTCCGAGAAAACACAATTCCAATAAAGTTACTTGTCAACATTAGCATAACTATATCTGATATGATTTTAAGATTTTAATATAAAATGTATAATATACAATATATTGATTGGTATATAATTATTATTTAAGTAAATGAAAAAGCAAATTCAACATACGATCAGCTGTGACTGTCCTTTTAGCAATTTCAGAAGGCTTTCCAAAAAATCCAAGATGCAACAGACGAGGCACACCGTCATCAGAGCTTTAAATTAAGAATTTGTTATAAAAGTCACGAAAATAAAATAAAATAAAATCTTAAATAGATAAATAAACAAATAAATAAATAAATATTTTGCTTACCGACACCAACTACCAAACAAAAAGGCTAGTAAGACCCAAACGTGAGCAACCAGGAGAACTTTAGAAAACCCGCTGCTAAGGAACGTTTCTTCCATGAAAAATTTCCAGTTTACTGTCCATTTGTATAAAAATACACGCGAAAATTCAAAAGCCTGCCCTAAATATGACCGAGGAAACGTTATCAGAAATGGAAATGCCAAAATGACCTAGGTAAACAAAACTTATTAAACCCACAATAAATTGATTCCGCTAAAAACAAAAACAAAACAAAACAAAGATAGATATATATATTGCTTTCTTACTTGAATTAATACTATTAATAATATATGACTAAAAGTTTTCCGAGCCCCCAAAGATTTGAATAAAAGAACACCAAGCGCTGGAAAAAACAAAAGAATGTTCATTTTGACAGATAATGCTAGACTAATTAATTTACCACAAAAGTTTTAAACAGCTTATTTAATAAAGTAGTTTTTTTTTATGTTTACCATAACAATTTATATTTATTATGAAATCATAAAAGAAAAATTACCTGTAAAGCACACAGCTTAGCATCCATTTCTTATTTATCATGGTCCAAATACACGTATACAAAAAAGCCATAGCGATAACATCATTGAATAATCTAAGAACGAAAATAGAATGAAGTCTTTTAGACAAGCATAGGAAAATTAAGACATATGGAGGTATCTAGATTACAATGAGGTGTTAGTAATTAAATGTAACGGTAAGCAGTTGTTTATTCCAAATTATTCAAATTGCATACCTGTCGACATCTACGATAAATGTTAAAAACAACATACAATGTCCACATATATAATATAGCAAATATGTACTGTGCCTTTGGAATGTCAACACCTTCCGAAGTTATATAGTACAGAATAGAATATATATACACAAAACCAGCGGGATAACTAATAAAGAATTAAATTTAATGCATATATGGATATTGAATTATTATGAAATGAATTAACAACTTACACACATGGACCAGTATCACCTTGAATGTTTGTATAATTTCTCTCTCCGTTCAAAAATATCGAGACTTCTTTCATATATGCTTTCCAATCAATTTCCGTATCTAAATTGAAATCCAAGGCACAAAATTAAATATTCATTACGAATTCGATTTTTCTGTTAAACTCGACGAATTTCAGCGGGATCATATTTACATGGAACATATTTAATTATGAATATATTCAGTAACGCTTCTCCAATAAGCAGACAGGCGGCAGTGAACCAAAAAAATGCAGGGTCAAAAAGTAAAGAATGAGACAGTCGAAACAATTTAGATAATATTAAAGGCATAAAACTACTATGGTCTTTCGTCGGTGTTTGAGAGTTCATAATTTGGATGAATATGACGATAAGTGAATATGATCCATGTTTTTTTAATGCAATCTTTAGATCATGTGAAGCGGAAAATAAATGATCTAAAACGAAGTTACATTTCTGATGCATTTAGAGTTGCCTTTTTTGATGTAAATCAATCTCACTTTGGCGTTAGTAAACTCCCTTTGAATCAATATTACTGTATTAAAAGCTGCAAAAAAAGTAATCAATGATTTAATTATACAGTTATAAGTCACATATTAAACTAGCATTGTAGCACAGTTTCGACTAAATAAACGAGAACAAAATAAAATTTAATTTGTGATAAACTCGATTTGATTTTGGTAGAATTCGCCATTCGCCATTTTAAGACCCTTACGTCATCAACCCTAAACAATTTCGCACAGAAGGTAGTCGCATAGGCAAATTTTTTCTGAAATTGATTGGTAACGCATTTTCCAAGGTTGTTTTTTTCTATTTTTCGCACATTTTTTGGGTTGATTGTCACAATTTATATAACAGAACTCCCGAAAATTCTGATCGGCGGATATATAATGATAATACGAATTGAGCTTCATCGCTGATCAAATTTCAGGGGTTTTGTCTATAACTGCAGGCGAATCGTCCCAATGATTCCGTAACTAGTTACGACTCTTAGGCTGAAGTTCATCTGATTGGCTAATAAATTCAATTTAATTCTACATTATTTATACGGTTTAGAGTACCAATCATAATAAAGTAAAAAAAACATATAGAAGGTTTCATTAGAGCTATAGGCCTCCATAGTCAAAAATAAGATCTAATTCTCGTCTGTTTAAAAAAATGAGCTTAGTAATAAGTTGGTTTTTGAGAAGTTATTACTATACTAACTTTTTTTAAACGGACGAGAACTAGATCTTGTTTTTGGCTATGTAGTCCTACAGCTTCTATACAGCTTTTTTTATTTCATTATTATTAGTTTTCGTTTTTTTAAAAAGTACTTTAAACTGTATAAATAATATAAAATTAAATTGGATTTATTAGCCAAACAAGCAAATTTCTGCCTATTAAGTTACGACATAAGCTTTAGCTAGTTACAGCATCATTGGGATGATTCGCCTGCACCTCTAGTTTTGTTTCAAAACCGACCAATCATAGCGCAATTCTATAATCATGATTATAGAAACAGGAGGAAACGTTGATGTTACACGATTGATTTTACACACGGTGTGAAAAATTTTTTTACAATACTTGAACAATCTTGATC